CCGGGACTCGAACCATGGTCGGCCACCGTGAGAGTCCAGTGCTTTAATCACCTCCCTGCCCGCTGGCCCCGGACACTCCAGTTACTGAAAAGGGTTCCCTTTCTCCTCTCCCTCTCATCTGTTCGTTGCGTCTGGATCTTCCGCTGTGTGGGCTCCCTGCTGCGTCTCCCCTGAAACCCTGTGAAGGTGTTTATTATTCTATTTGTTGTCACCCAATTAACGTATCATTCAATGAACATGAAATTAATACGCGCTCACTGGGGAAACCAGAATCCTCGCAAAACAAAAAGAGCTTTAGGGGAAGAGAACATAAAACGCCGCTGTAATCCTCACCCCGGAAGTAGCCCGTCCGGCCAGCCACAGGCACAGAGGCCACAGCTGCCTGCAGTGCCGATGCCGCATGGGAGGGTCCTGGGTTTGAGACCAGGGGGCTCCCTGTGCACACTGGACGTGTGTGTGTGTGTGTGCGCTGTGATCCTGGTTGGCTGGGGCTGAGGTGGGTCATGGTGCGAGGCCCTGTTGGGGTGCCCCCTCTTGCTGTCTGTGTCTGTCATGAAAGAAACAAACTCAAGAAGAAAAACAAATAGCTCAGTGTAACACATTGGTGTGTTTGTAACTGCTGCTGTGCATTTTTCCCGTGATAGAACAAGTACACACACACACACACGCGTGCACACACAGATCACCCCATCTCCTGGAGACTAGTGTTGCGTGGAAGGTTAGTTGAGCACATAATACATGTTTAGTTTCCGCAGTTCGATATGTTTGTAGTAACTGTGTTAATCAAGGTTACCTTCTTTATATGGGGCTTCTCAGTACGTTGGTCCTTTTTTTTTGAAGATTTTATTTATTTTTGGGGGATGGTGGGATTTGCCATAGGGCACGTGCACTCACCCAGGACAGAGAGTGAGAGCAAGAAATCACCCCCCAGGGGTGGTGGCCACACTGCAGTCCCTTCTCCTCCTTTCTCCTCCAGGGATGTTTGGCATGTACGCACGCGTGCTCGGTGTGATTTTTCCGCTGGATCCAGGACTCGAACCACAGTTACCTATGCGGACTCCAGTGCCTTAATCACCATGCCACCTGCTGGTTCCTCTCAGCATGTTTTTCACGAATGTTAGAATTCCAGGAGAGGGGGTGAGTTAATCACCATGCCACCTGCTGGTCCCTCTCAGCATGTTTTTCACGGGGTGAGTTCACACCATTTTCCTGACTGGCTGGACCGTAAACCCTTTTCCTGGAGAAGCTTACAGGGTAGCTGTTCGTGGAGCTTACTTTTGGAAGTGGTGGTTCCCACCGTCGCCTGTGTTTTCTCTGGAAGACATTCTGCCCGTTGATTTGGGACCCGATAGACTTAATGTAATGTAACCTCCATTTCAGGAAAAATACATTTTTTTTAAACCAGAATCAGGTCGATGAGGTTGCCGGGCCACCGCTGTCATGGCAGTCCAGCTGCCACAAAGTCAGTGCAGTCATTGTTTAAAGGGGAGAGAATTCTTTTAAGAGAGGAGTTCCCCCCTCCTCGGGTACTTTCAGGATATACATTGGTTAAAACAAAACAGAGCTGGAATCGTTTTCAGATTTTTTGAACCCAGCAGGGTGGCTAAATTAAGGCTCCATTTATGAGTACTGTAAACTCCTTCCTCAACCTGACCTTCGAAGGTGTTTATCCAACACGTCTTTGGACGTAACCGTGGGCTCCTGTCACATGACTCGTGGTTTCTGCTGGAGAGAGGAGAGAGCAGAGAGCAGTCGCTTACGCGGAGGGAGCCCCGTCAGCATCCCGGGCCTTCCCTCTCCACTGACGAGGGCCCAGAGTCCCGTGTTTCTCCCGAGCTGTCTTACCGACATTTATTTTTATTCGACTGCTTCCCTTCTACCCTGAGTTAAGGAACGTGAGCACCGTGGCGGTTGTTCCCAAGAACGCCACGCAGGATCAGAGAGGCTGTTTCAGACATTCGTCTGGCCATGGCGTGGTCTGAGGGACGTGAACCTGTGTGTAGAAGACCCAGTCACCCTGCAGGATGTGGGAAGGAGAAGGTTTGGCGTGGTGTGGTTTCTCTGAGATCGGGCGTGCTTGACACGGCCTTCGTGAGCTCCCTGAAGCTTACAATAAGCTGTCTTGACCACGGTGTGTGGGACAGGTACTCTCTCCCAGTGCTGCCTTCTTTTGTAAATTCATGTTTCTTCCTGGAAAGGTGTCCTGGCTGTGGACACCCACGGTGCCTCCACCTGGCGTGGTCCCTGGGTCCCCAGGCAGCCTAAAGCCATGCTTTTAATGCCTCGGACCTCACTGTCCTCGTTCTGAGCGAGGGGCCCAGCTGAGCTTGGCACGCAGGGCACCAGATTTCTGCTTGAGCTAATGCCCAGAGTGAGGGCTGAGTGTGGTGGGGACCGCCGCAGGACACGGACCCTCAGTGAGTCACCTCACATGGGTTTCCAGGGGATGGACAGAGGGAGTCTCTTGGCCAGGCTGCCTGGACTTCGCGTCTGCCTCCAGGTGACCGAGAGACCGGAGTGCCTTAGGAGAAGTGACCGCTTTGTAGTCGCTGTTTCCAGCACTAAGCATGGGGTACTTTTCTTTTCTTTTTTACAATTATAAGTTTATTTATTATTATTATTATGTTTTTTTCATTTGACCAGAGAGAGACAGCGAGAGAGAGGAGGTTGGTGGCAGGGAGTGAGAAAGCCAGTCACCAGGTCTGGGACTTGAACAGTGGTCAGCCACGTGGGAGTCCAGCACCTTAACCATCACACCACCCACTGGCCCTGGGCTGTCTTTTTCTGGGGGAAGAAGACTCGTCTGAGCCTCAGAGCTGATGCTGGGAGAGGGACCTGCCGGGCCCACAGCCTGGGCCCACTGTCCTGCTGCTTCTGCCACTGCAAGGCCACGTCCTAGCCTGGAACCGGCCTTTTCGGGCATTGACCACGCCTCTTGTCTGTGCTTCTTTGCAGAAATGGCTTCAGATATCCCTGGATCGGTGACGTTGCCCGTGGCCCCCATGGCGGCCAGCGGCCAGGTGAGGATGGCAGGGGCCCTTCCTGCCCGCGGAGGAAAGCGGCGTTCCGGGTAAGCAGCCTCAGTGTTCCCAGGAGCTGGCCTCGCACGTGCGGAGCGATGCCCTCACCTGGCAGGAAAGCCCCGTTCTCCCCCTCCTGGAGCAGAAAAGCTCAGTGGTTTGCATCCTGTTGAGATTTTGCAAGGTCCCCAAATATGCACGCCATTTGCTTTGGCGTGTCCGGGCCTCGGTAACCCGCTGGGCACTGTGTTTGCTGTCCTCGTGGTCCTACTGGGCCTGCGCAGGCCACCTGCAGGGAGGGACCTGCCCGTCACCCTGCCCGAGTGTTCAGGCTGGGTTTGGCAGCCGCTGTGAGAGCTCCAGCCCCAAGATCTGGGCCATGCCTTCCATCCTGTCCCTGGGCTCCCCGACTTTCAGAGGGGTGTGCGGGAACCCCTTGCAGAGGAATTGGCTGACACCCAGCGCTGGCGGCCGGGCAGCTCCCTGCTGTAAAGCTGGTGGTGGTGACCAGTGCCCTTGGCAGTGCCCAGAACACTCACTCTTAGCAGACGGCACCTCCCCGTGTGTGGTTTTTGTAGCGGAAGGTAAAACACCACACTGGGCAACCCAAACGCTGCGACACCGAGCGACACCATCGGGCCCCGTCTGTCCCCCTCCTCTGCCCCCATTGGGTCCATTTCATTTTCATTGGAATATTTGATATATGATGTTTCTCATGAGGTCAAAGCCATTTGTCCCTTTAAGGGAATTTCAGATGACACGGGGGTCCACAGGAATGCACTGTCCAGCAGTCACGGAACACCACGTTCACAGCCCAGGCTGCCGGGGGCCCATTTTTAAATAAGCCAGCATTTTGGTCTTAAGAATTTCCTTCAAAGCCCCTGAGTCAGGGACTCGACTGCAGTTGACCATGTAGGAGTCCGGCACCTTAACCACTATGCCACCTTCTGCCCCCATCCTTTTTAAAATTGTGTTATAGGGCATGTGCACATGCTGAAGAACAGAGAGAAAGAAGGGGAAAGTGAGGAATCACCTACCGGGGAGGATGGCCACACTGCAGTCCCTTCTCCTCCATTCTCCTCTCAGGATTTTGGGCACGCGTGTGTTCATACCCCATGTGAGTCACAAGCTGCCGGGACTTGAACCAAGGTCAGCCACGTGGGAGTCCAGCACCTTAAGCACCACGCCACCTACTGGCCCCAACTGTTGGCAGAGACCTGAGCAGTGAAAGGGGATGCACAGTGACGGCCCCCAGGGTGTGACCCTCAGCAGCAGCTCAGCAAGCTCAACCTTCTCTCGGAGCTCATCTGCCACTGCCCTCGTTCTTGGGGTCTCTGCGCCTCCTTTTCCTCATCAGAGGGAGGAGCCGTGCGATCTCCTCCTTTTCCTCATCAGAGGGAGGAGCCGTGTGCAACGCCCCAGTGATTCAGAGATGCCTCCCATGTCTAAGCAAAGAAACCGCCTTGTCTGCTGCGCTGTTTCAGAGTGATTCTCACACCGGAAACGCCCCAGTGATTCAGAGATGCCTCCCATGACTAAGCAAAGAAACCGCCTTGTCTGCTGTGCTGTTTCAGAGTGATTCTCGCACCGGGCGTCTTTCCGTGTGTGGCTGAAGTCGCACGACAGAGGCCAGT